GGATCCACCACATAGCTGAGTCTGATCTTGCGCAAGATCTTGGGGTCAGACTGGACAGTGAACACAGCAGCGAAGTCCGAAGGGAAATTGGAAGGTTCATCGTCGACCGGCATCCTAGACAAGGCATCTGCGATGGTGTTGTCCTCCCCTTTTATGTTGATGAGCCTAAACTTCCGTGGCAACGGCAAAAACCAAAACTCTAGAGGAGTTCACGGCAAATGGCATGTAGCAGCAATAAAGGCTTTGTTGTTGTGTGAGTGTTTCGGTGCACCTCCGTGCGATGAATTTCTCAAGAATGCAAGTATACACTGTGACTTTTCAGTCAGCAAAGTAGTACCCTTAACGATCGAGTACTAGAAAACGTTGGCTGTAAGCTGGGAAGGGTCTTGATAGACGAGAAGGAATGGAATCCGGTATAACTGGGAATACCAGCAAACCGTGAATGAAGTGACAGCAATTTAACTAGTAAAAGCCATGGGCGATGTTGATGGAATTAGAGAAAATGCCATCAAAGAGAAATACTGTTGGCAAGATAACAAATACCGTGACGGCAAGAGATGAAGACTGTAGTCAAGAAATGAGAAACTGGTGGTAAAACAAAGATAAGATGAACTGGCGATGATATGAGTGGGAACTAGTGATGGCAAAACGATGGCTGGGACTGGGCTGGACTGAAACTGAAACTATACTGAGGTTAACGACAGCAAAATGAAACTGATACTAATCCTGAGTCTACACAGAGACTATCCTATACTGAAACTGACAGCAAGATATCAAATACCATGACTGATGATCCTATACTGAAGCTGTTGACTGAAATTCCATGACAGATGCTACTGGCAGCAATAATGATCCTAATCTGAGTCCACACGGGGACGTAACGATCCTGAACTGAGCTGGGTAAAACAGTGGTGATGTAGAAGGTGAAAACTGATGAAAACAATCCTGGCTGGTGAAAGTGAAATGATGCTGGCAGATTAAAAGATAAAAGCGAGTTGTGGACACCAAATTCCGTGTATTGGCACAATATGAGCATACACCAATACCGTTAGAAGAAAAGCCATGACAGAGAGTATAACTTGGAGTGACTATGCTGTTATTGTCTGTCTCCTAGTGAGTACAAGCGGTGATGGTGGTCGATAATGTGTGTGATAACTAGTGTCTGGTAACTTCCATCTAGCAACTACCTATTTTCCATGGTGTATACTAGCTTTTATACTACAAGTCCGGAATAAATTTAGAATACTTGAAGTGAGTCCTTAGTAAGTCCATAGTACATAGATTGGTAAGAAATGATACCAAACACATGTTCCCAATGTTCTAAAGTAACAGCACCCACACAGTTTTACTGTGTACTGTGGTTCGAAAGTAACAGCACCCATATGGCTTTTACCGCATATAGATGAAGTGATTAGCAAGAATGCCACCGATCTCTGGAATTTTGAGCTGCTGTGTTGCTGTGGCAAAGTACATTGAAGCAAGTGTACTGAAGTAGATGCTTGCAGCAATATCTTGGCAGTATAACAGCCTTAGTAAAGACTGAGGAAAGGTCATGGCATTAGAGCTAATGCCATGGAATTGCTATTTGAGCTGCAGAATTGTGGCTGTGCTGCGGAATTGCGGCTGTGCTAGGCAATCAGATGGGATTCTAAATCTGTGAGATCGACAATCAGGTGCCTGGCAGAATTAATGAAAGAAGACTGGTGGAATTAGTGAAAGGGGCGCGTAATTGATGTGGGGTACAAGTGGGGAAGGATAATTGGCAGCATTAAGCAATATTGCTGGGATTGAAATAGTAGGTTTGTGTGGTGGCTGGGGAATTAAATATCTGGTAAAATCCGCAAATTCTGAGCATACAGAGCCTGGAGGCTCATCAACATAGTGCAGCATGTACTCGTATTGAGCCAAGAATTCCATCCAGTGAGCCTGGCATCTAGACAGGTCAGCTTGTGTGTCGAAATTTTGCAATGTCTTGTGGTCAGTGAAAATATGAATGTGTGTACCCAGAAGGTTCACATGCCAACGCTTGAGAGCACGAATGATAGTGAGCTCCTGCTCATGTGTTGGGTAGTTCAACTGTGCCCCTTTGAAGGCCACTGAGTCAAAAGCCACCAGACGAGCAGTCTCCCAAGTCTTTCCATAACTGAGAATGGCACCTGTGCAACGTTTGCTCGCATCGCAGGTCATGAAAATCTTATTGTTGCCTGAGATCTCATGGTCGATGACTGTGAGGCATTCCATGCCCACCACCAGCCTTTTGATAGCATCGAAGGCAGCCTGGTGCTCACTCTTCCATGTTGGGAACATGTGGTCACAGTGTTTTTTGGTCAACGGAGTCAGGATGGATGTGTATTCTGCAAGTTTGGGTAGGAAATCGGCAACGTATCTGACCAGGGCTAGGAATTGTCATACGTGTTTTGCTGAGCGAGGTCTTGGCCAATTCTGGATTTTCACAACTTTGGAAGCATCAGGTTCAATCCCTTGCCTCGAAATGTGGTGCTCCAGGAAGTCAACCTCTGTTAGGAACAAGGATGTCTTCTTTGGTGAACAATACAACTGTGCCTCCTTCAGCGCATTCAGCACTGTGTCCACATTGCGGCAGTGTTCCTCTAATGAAGCTGACCAAATAATGATGTCGTCCAGGTAGATGTGGCAGATCTTTCCGATGAATGGACATAGAGCCAACGTAACACGTCATTGGTGAGTAGCTGGAGAGTTGCACAAACCCATTGGCATCACTACCCATTCCCACAGCCCAAATGGCATGAGTGTAGCGGTGTATTTCACATCATCCAGATGTACCAAAGTCTGGAAGAATGAGTTTGTCATATCAATTTTTCCCCAGTATCTACCCTTGCCACAGTCAGCGAGGATATTGCTAATCAAGGACATCGGTGATGTGCTTGGTAACAGGCAGCATGCAAATGAAACTAGCATCTAGATCATCAATCTAGATACTAAATCACACATACACACACTATCACCAATGTATATAAGTTCGAGGGTGAGTATGATAGAAGCACTCGTGATGTACTTAGATTTAGATAATCTAGTGGGGTTTTGTCTGAAAACAACTTCAATTCTTCTTTTGATGTGTTTTACACAAAGTACACTAGTCCACGATAGCGGGGTTTTATGAACTTGTTTTGTAAGGTATAGTCGAGCAAGTTATACTCATTTTGACATCGTCTAGAAGAGCTTCTAGCAGACACTTCAAATAATCAAACAACCAAAGACTCTGAGGTCTACAAAGAGTGCAAAATCACTCTACAAAGAACGTGCAGGTTCTGACTTCAAGTACAAGACTTGCAAAGAGTACACAGACTCTGGAGTTCCTTGAATTCAACAATTGTTCGAACTTAAAGCATTCTAGGGCTTATTTTACTTCAACTAGATGAGGTCTTTTGACTTAAAGTCGACTCAGTACATCTAGATTGCTAATCTCAGAGAGAGAGGGCACGAGGCCTTTGTCTGTGGAGCAGTTCAATTAACTAGCAAGGTGCAAATGCGGGGATGGCTCTACTTCCTACTTAACTCTTCTAGATTACTGTAGTCACCCTTATGGGTTGACTTTGGTAACTTAATTCACTTCAGTTGAGGATATGCAATAAAACCAGTGATTGATTAGGTAGCTATACAGGCTACTAGCACAAATGCGGGGGAATGCTTTCCTTCCGTTATGTGTCTAGTCGCTGCTAATTTATACAATTCATGTTCTAGGTATAGGAGCCCATATCTACAGTAATTATGGTACGAGCTTTGGAATTAATACAAATGGTGAGTCACTATTCTACAAGTATTGCGCCATTCTGTAGTTTCTATTCAGTTCAACACGACTGCACTGGGTTATTCTGTCACCGAGGAGTGCCCTACTAGTCTGTGGGTGCTCCTTCTTCCATCTGCAAGGCTTGCCACGTGCCGTATGTATGGAATACTGTGGTATGCGCAGGATCTTGAGGATGTAACCACTGATTGCGATCGACTGCAGGTCCGAGATTATATTCTGTTGATCGCTGCATGATCAAGGTCAGTCATCTCGGTACCCAACGCAGCTATTCATTCTTCCAAGGTTATTCCTTTCCTAGCCTGAGTTGATCTCAAAAGCTGATCTGTTTCTTGACTTAGCAATTTTTCTTGACAGGTTCTTTCTACTTGTTGAGGTGACGAGGCATCTAGTTCATTCCATTCTTCAACTTCTTGGTTTTTATACTCCATACAGATGAGTCCCCAAGATTTGACTGTAATAGTCTTGTTTAGGTAGGGCTTAGCTTGGCGTGTTGACAGCTGGTAGAATTGACTCTTTGAGATGTTGTTTCTAAGTCCGTTCTGTACTGCCATGCTTTCATTCTTTATGTAGTATTTAGCTACCAGCATGAAGCCTCCACTGTAGCTCTCTGTACTGCTTGTAGATTGCATAAACTGATGTAAAATTGCAAAATCTATGGGTAGCCTGATATCAGGCATATCATCTCCCCCTTACTATAATAGTGACTGTCCCTAGTCACTTGTGTCTTGTCGAGACTCAGTAATGGAGTGCCATGGTACTTCTTTATTTGTTCTCTGTAGAATCCTAGATGTTCTCGCACTTCGCATTTGAAATCCCCATGGGGTATCTTCATGTTGTCTTACAAATCAGCGTTTCATCATGATTTTCAGGGTTTGACAGCCGCGATCAATATTAAACTTATTTTTAGTTCAATTCACGTTGCGTCCATCTTTATTCTTAGTGAACTTGTTATGAATTCCTTTGTTCATGCTTGTATTGATTCTTCTTGCTTAGCCCTTCACAGGTCTGTCCTTGGTGTCAGCTGTGGGTTCAGACTCAGCCTGTAGCCAGGAAACAGCCTTCGAGGCAGACTTCTAATTTTATTTTGAAGTCTTCTCAAAGCAACTCCGTTTGTTTTTCTTTGCTTCCCTACTCGTCGAGATCTGTCTACGCCTACTACGTGACCATCTCCCTTTTCTAGTCTTTGTTTTTCTACTTTTCTCATGTGCTTCCAATGTCTTTCGAAACTCTTCATATCCTCTGGCCTGCTTTGACTCCCATGTTCTCGCCTGGGGCCACTCTTACGATTCCAGCCATGCATCGTGTGCGACTACTGAAAGAGGTGGTGCCAGCAGCTGTGAGTTCAAGCTTCTGTTCGAGACCATTGTTGAACATGCTAATCTCGGCATCTAGGTTGGTATTCTCAAGGCTGCCAGGGCGTGGCCCAACGTTGAGTATCGAGGCTTCACCCTCAACCTGGCCTACATGCTTTCTTTGGTGGCCATCGAGATTTCCAAGGAGATGTATGATGAGCGGTGGGAGGAGTTGTTGTTGACTCCTCATGAGGCGCCCTACGTGCGTTTCTTCTCTTCATTTTATCTTCTTTTACGACTAACTTTCGTTTCCTCGCCCTGACTAGGCCACCCATTTCTCTGTCAACGAGCCAGCACCAAAATTCACGCCATGATTGTCTCAAACGGTTCCAACCCCGTCTGGTTCCTCTTCAAAGGGCAAAAGCAAGACTCAGGCAAGTACTTCTTTTCTAAGTTCTTTCCATGTCACCTAGATCTGACCTTGATTTAGCCCAAGTCAAAGAAAGGCATGGTTTCCATCAAGAAACCGCAAAAATTCACTAAAGGCCAGACGGCAGGTCCAACTTCCATGCCTGAGGATAAGGATGATGATGACAATGCCGGTAACTCTCTTGACGAGGAGTTGGTAGTCGTTGCGAAACCTTTCCATCCCCCTGCTTTGCAGGGAAGTCCTTCCAAGCATACAAAACCTGGTCCCAATCGTCACTCTGTTGCTGGTGCATGTTATTCTTTTTGTCTTTCATTCTTTCAATGTTAACTTCTGTTTTTATCTTCCCATCTAGCTGTTCCTCTGCCTGTCGACTTGCCTGTTGGTGTAGTTGAGGAACAAGTTATTTGTACTCGCAGAGAGAAGAGGAAGCGTGAGGCTGCAATTGCCGCCGTGGAGTCTCATGTTGAGACTTCAAATGTTCGTGATGAGAGCCCAGAGCTCCCGAAGAAGATGACAAAACAGCACATGGCACAGCTTGGTTGACAAGCTGCCACCCAGGTGCCTTGTAAGTCTTTCTTGGTTATCCGTTTTTGTTTTTATTGACAAACTCTCTTCAGCATGAAATATTGCCTTCAACCCGGTCACCATGCAGCCAGTAGATGCCAATGAAGTTTGTTGGCTGGCTACTGCGACCATGGATATAAATCCATTTCCTATCTCTTGTTACTCTTTTCATTTATAGTCTTTTCTGTTTTCTTAGCCCAAGGTTCCCTGCTCACTTTGTGCCATGGGCAGCCAGTCTAAGCCCTGTGAATTCATGGGCTGGGGTGTTCCTTGTGGGAACTGTCAAAGGGGAAAGAAGGTGGTTTGTTCATTCAAGGCTAGTCCTCAAGAGCGGTACCGAGCACACATCTCAATACACCCATTCATGGAGAGAACGCCTGACAGTAAGTACCTCCTTCACTATTTCCTTTATTTACACTGATTGTTTTTCTTATCACAACCTCTAGATCTTCACCGACTCCTCAGGATGGCCGAGTACTTGGTCAAGGCCTTTGATAGTGCCTGTGAGACTGCTGGCCATCTGTCCAAGCTTCTTTGTGACACTTGCAAGGACATTGACACTGTTATCCAGGACACCGTTGAGTATGAAGGTCGTGTCGTGGCCAAGGAGTCTCTTGTTACTGATGTATCAGCTGTCAACGGACTCCTCGACGGGTTTTCTGCTCAAGAAGTGGAAGTCTCGACAAATCCAGAGGATGAGGACCAAACTGGTCCTTCTTTGTTTTCATTGAGTTGTTAGTTTTACCCTGTTCTCATTTCTTCTCTTCTTTCTTTTACTGACTTCTGTTATTTTGGACAGACGATGCATCTTCCCCAGAGCGAGATGAAGCTCTTCATTGCAAAGAGGGGGGTGGTGGCGAAATGGATGCCGACAGAGACTTGGACGCAGAGGTCGGAGTATGATCTCAATCTCGTGTATCTCGAGCCTTCTTGCTTGTCGAGATCTACTCAGGCCTTGGTCTTTCTCTTGGGTTTTGCCTGGTTTTCTTGTGCCTCCAGGCTTTTCTTTTCTGTATTCATTGTCTGTGCAGTGCACCTTCGGGCAGAATTATATATGTCTAACCAGCCGGTCACCTTGGCCTTTAAATGAATAAATATATTTCATCTTGTCCTCTTCTGTGCAATCTTCTAAGAGTGTAAGGTATCTTTTTAAGAATTTAACCACCTCTAGGTGCCTTCTTAGGTTACCTCGATGACTTAGTTCTATTTACTGTTTGCCTTATTTTTAGACTTGGGTTATTTTAAGTCACCAGACACTCCGTGCCTGATCTCGGTAGTTACCAAGTTAAATCAAAAGTGATCGCTCGATCTCTTCTAAGTTCAGCCGGCTCTTATTTCTGTATTTTAGGAGTCCTCGAGCGCTTATTTGTATGGCTAGGTAGTTAAACACATGTATGCTTCATATATATTTTCTAGGAATGTGAATTCCACAAAAATTTTCTCTAATCTCAGAGTTCTGTGTCAACCCCTCCCCCATACTATAAAAATCAACATCCTCGTTGAAGTAGAAATCATTCCAACTCGCCTTGATGACTTAGAACACTCCACGCTCTTTACACTCTGGTCTACACACTTATTACACACATTCACCATGTCCACCAGCTCCGAATTCCCATTGATCTCGCCACTCTCATCGCCAAGGCCAACAATGCCATGTGTTTCTGTGACCAGCTCTTTGAAACTCGGTGTCGACATCGGCAAGCAGCTCGAGCAATGCAAGAAACTGTTTGGTTTAGGTGTCAGTCTTTTCTCTATACATTCGCATGCGATCTCGGAGTCTTCAATGGTATTATAGGTCGAGATTACATGGTCTCCTGGCCACGTCTTCGGCAACAAGGGGCTGGAGGACTTGCTTTTCCGTCTCAAGCAAGTCTTCGAGCGCCTTCAGAAGGCTCACCTCGGCACTCAACCATTCGGAGATTATCATATCGTTCGTGCTTTTACTGGGCAAATTCATGCAGATCACGAGCGTCGAGCTCAACTGTCTAACCCTGTACTGGCAGCCAAGGCTAAGGCGAATGCTGCTACTGGGCAAGCTGCTGCTTCATCTGCAGCTGATGGTTCATCAGCGAAACCTCATCTACGAAAGGGAAGGCCAAGGCCACGGTATGTGGACTGCTACCTATCGTCGAGATCACCAGTATTCAATCAATTTTCATTTCTAGACCTAAGAAGGGAAAGAAACTGCCCAAGTCAAAGGCCATCGTCGAGGACTCCTC